TAATTGGTGGGATTTCAATTTTGTTGAATGAGCACAAATATAGCCTAATATTTACATAAACAAATATAATTTAGACTGCAAGTAATATTAGTCTGCCCACACAAATGTCTGATATAAACTTCTGAAAATTATTTGACTTTTTTTTTATCTAGATGTAAATGATCTTTTCATGTTTTCAGGTGGCGCTCTGCAGTTTCATATTTTGACGCCATTAAAAAAGAATTTAACAAGTTTTACTAACTGTTTAAACTGGCTACTTTAAATAGAATTTGTAATTTTTTTACGAATTTTGAAAAATATTAATTTCTTTTAAGTTGGTGTTTAATTGATGGGTGTATTTAGGATATAAGAGAGGACAGCTTGGCTTTCATTTCGATGTGGATAACGTTTTTTAATTAAACTTTTGTAAATATCTTTATATTGCATATACTTGCTAATTTAATAATTGCACTTTCAGAAACTGGTAATGCCAAGTCTGACAAATTTATTTTCCCTTTTTAAATAATTGCAGAAGGTTGTGTATTTTAGACTAATTTAGGCTGAGTTTTTGAACACATGGGAGCAGTCATTTTGGTCAGCTGTGTGCTTAGGTCATGGACAATTTCCATCAGTACAATATCCATTGAAATTTCAGCAACAGAATGTAAAAGTAACATATAGGTATGCAAATATTCTCTCCAAGTTCATGTTACAAAGGCAAACAACTTCACCTTACACATGCCATTCTCTCAGAAGTTCATAAATGTAGAGAGTCCAATCATATAATTATATGTGCTTTAAATTTTTTTAAAAAAAGAACTGAACGTTTTTTTACTCAGAGACGTTTTTGATTTACAGTGGTGGATATGTAGTTTTACAAATGTAGATCTGGTTGACAGTTAGTTTTATTCCAGACTGGAATGCATTAATGAATAAACGATTGGTGTACTCTCTCTCTCTCTCTCTCTCTCTCTCTCTCTCTCTCTCTCTCTCTCTCTCTCTCTCTCTCTCTCTCTCTCTCTCTCTCTCTCTCTCTCTCTCTCTCTCTCTCTCTCTCTCTCTCTCTTGAAGACGCATATAATCAGTGTCTACGTGACCGTAATGATAATAGTTCGAATCTTTTCATCGTATCATCCCAGATGGGTAATCATGACGTTTTCTTGGGCAAGACAATTCACTCTAGTTTACACGGCACCAAATAACCTACTTGTGCTGTTGTGCGGTAAAACACCAAATCACGTATCTGTTCGTTCGTCATGATCTCTTTCGCTTTGGTCTCTATTTTTTTAATTCGTTGTCATGTTTTAATTTATTTCTTTGCATTGTTATGTATATCTGGACGGTTTTTTGGTTACATACTCAGAATATCGAGATTCCAAAGCCTGCCATGTTACATCTTAACCCATGGTAAACCAGCATGCAAGTGCGGTTCTTCCGAAGATTAATAGGAAGAACCTTTTTAACCAGCAGTTGGGCTAAACGACCCGCCATATCAATTCTAGATTGATATTTAGTAGAAGTTTGCACTCTTTTGAGATAGCGTCATCAAGTTAAGAAGACAGAATTCAGCACAGCTGCTGAGTGCTTTGAATTGTTCGCCAAGTTTTGACCGCAAACCATCAATTTTGCAGAAAAAAACAAACATCACCAAGGAGGTCTGAAATCGTAAGGAAATAAATGTGCCCGATATGTTTCTCCACCGTAACCACATCAGTAGGAAGAAAATGCTTGTATAGGAGACATAATTTGATTTATGACTGATAATCATTATATTAAGATATTCCATACCGGCTTTTCATCATGAGGAAAGAAAACTTACTCAACTCTCAGGCTATGCACTTAATTTCAATACCTCCATCATTATTTATTTTCTCCTCTGCGTTTGTCGGTCTGTAGCAATATAGATAATTAAATACATACATACATACATACATACATACATACATACATACATACATACATACATACATACATACATACATACATACATACATACATACATACATACATACATACATACATACATACATACATACATACATACCATTCACCCATTAACTAACAAACTGTCTGCTTATCTATTTAATTTCTGCATTTGTGATGAACTTTGTCGTACTTATGTCTAAAACATTGTATAAAATGGTTCACTGGCCGTAGTTACCTACTGAAGACTGGTTTCAGTCAGTGTTTTACGGCACAGTAACGCGAGTATGGCATATAGTGCCGAGGCAGAATAAGTGCCTTGATCAAAGCTACAGCCGACCTGGGCTGATATCCAATGGTAGGATTAGAACCAGCATCATTTTAGCCACGAGTCCAGTATGCTAACCATAGAGCCACTTTACGATAAGCAGGAAAGCGCACATATCTATTCTACATCCCTAAGCCATCACAAATTTCGTATTGATGAAGTTATCAATGATTAAATGTTGGAAAGAACATTTGTTATCCATTTACGGTAACTTTAAAAGTTAATTTTAAAGTTAATGAACAATGTTACTTTATTTGGGTCCGAACAGTT